TATGTGTGTGTGTGTGTGTAATAAATATATATAGCACACATATAATTGCGTATATAAAATTTGTAATACCAAATCATATATAAAATTTGTGTTATATAAAAATGCAGAGCACAATTAATATAAAAAAAATGATATCAATAGTCATAGAACACATGAATGTGTGCGGAGATTTCTAAAAGTCTATGACGTTTATCATTCAATCTACTTTCTTCGAACGCGCGGCACTCTCGTTCAAGGTCCTTCTTAGACGTCTTCTCGCGGTAGCCGTCCCAGAAACCCGGAATCCCACCAGATCTACCAAATGGTAACCCACTTCAGTCCACTCCCACCTCCGGTATTTGTTTTCGCGAAAATGGTAGAAGTGGAACGCGTTGCTATAGCTTTCTACGTACGGAAATCTTCCATTCCAGTCGCTCTCACATCTCTCTCTCAATAGTTATTAATACACGTTTATGCGTACTCAAATTTTTCAGTATTTTTGCGAAAAAAAAAATTGTTTATAAATACGTGAGTAAAAAATTTTGAGAAAATTTTTATAAATATGAGAAAAACAATAAACTACATAAGCGCTAGAAAGAGATACATAGAGGATGCGTGAATGGTATTTCGGCCACGATCGAATTGAAAAGAAAGATACAAGTTACACTTTCCAGCCAATGAATCCTGAGATTCATGAGCTACTTAAATCCCATTGGCAGGGCTTTAGAAAGGTGAGGCACTATAAGTTTGCGTCCATTGAATGATGTATTCATATCAGATCGGAACGTTAGAGAAGAACCAGAAACTTTTGTTAGATCCAAGTGTCTAACACAAGTCTGACGAAGATCTAACAGAACTTTGAACAATAATGTTATTATCGGAACTTAGCTTTAAAAATGTTATTAAAAACTTAATTGTAAAAATTCTTGTGGAAGAAAAATACAAATTTAATATGTACGTTTAAAAAGATAAAGCGTAAGCGTCGGTCTACAAATTTATTTATAGATATAAGAAGGACATTAAACGTATTTATTTCAAATAATTTATATAAATATTAAAGAGAACTTATGTTGTATATTATATTGATTTATAAAAATACAGCGTGTAATATTATTAATATAGATTTAATCTTATAAATTTAGGCTCGATTGCACCAACAATACTTTGATTTTTGGTAAGGCTTAAAACTCTCTCTATCTCTTTTTCGCTTTAAAACAAGACAGAGAGAGTCTTAAATTTCGCTTAAAGTCAAAGAAATGTTGGTGCAACCGAGCCTTAATAAATTAATACTAGTTTACGAGTACTTGTACTTAAAAGTATTTTCGAAAATTCTGAAATATTTTTGAATTATAGAAACATGATAATCACTACGAGAGAGAAAGAGAGAGAGAGAGAGAGAGAGAGAGAGAGAGAAAGATGTTTATTATAATATTTTATATAGTAAAGATTGTAATATCTCCCCCCCCCCTCCTTAAATATTTTTATATTTTTAAGAAAAATGATTGTTTTTTTAACTTATTGAAACTATTTAAAAAAAATGTAATTTGTATAGAATTTATAGAATTTAAAGATAAGTATTTCAAATGACCTTGCCATTACTAGTAAATTTCCTCAAATTATTTTAAATCACAGTCTCGTTATGCAAATTCATAAAAACTTGAAAGAGTAAACGCTCTAGTTACCTCTAATATACAAATTTGACAGCATTGTTCTATCCAAAAAATACAAAACAATCAGTTAAATACAAAACAATCAGTCCCGTTTTAAAAATTAAATTTATAATAATTTTTTGTAATAACGTTTACCTTCGGATGTTCCACGTGTCAAGCTTCTAAGTTCTATATCGATGTTTCTTTGGCCAAGAGCGCGTGCAAACAAACCAGCGGTTGAAGCATCATTAGGAAGATTAATTTGAATTTTTCGACTTCTCAGGAATTTTTCAATTCTGCTTACGAGCGGATCCGCGCTCTCTTCTGATGGTTTTTCATCCTTTGCAACCTTTTCCAAGGTTATTATATCGCCATAAACGTCAATGATGTCTTTTCTGTTGATTTCGTCCATAGTTTTCATGAGCTTCTCTTCTAATTGTTCCAAACTATTTCCATCTTCCTGACCTGAACCGGCTATCACCAACGTCAGCAATTGCAACGCTAAGAGGATGATTACTTTGGTCTTCATAGTTACGAAGTGCTATATAGTGTGACTCCGAAGAAACGTTTTTGACTGTTTGCCCCCAGGGACATTTTTCTTTTATATGAACCACAATCGACTAGTGGTGGGGCCATATTGAACCATTTGGCAAGCAACGTGCAAGGGCAGTAGTGTCAAGAATTTTAATTTTGCCGACTCTCTGAAGAGTTAACTTGAACATGCAATGCACAAGAATCGCGTGACGAAGAATCAAGCAAATTTCCCTTTTACTTTCAGAATTTTACTATCTAACCTAAGAAATTTCTTAAGTTTTTCAGACTAAAAAGTTCTTTTTAATAAAAAAATAATTATAAATAATTACAAAATTTTATATATAAAAGTAATAATTAAAGTATTTCTGTAATAAAATTGAATTAAATTTCAAAAATATTACATTTTATTACTCAGATATTTTTTTTAAATATATATTACGTTTTTTTGGATAAATTTATTGTAAAAAAGAAATCTGTTTCAATTAAGAAATTTCTAATTAATTTACATATATCTACGGTTTATTTGCATCACATATACATACAATAGTCTGTAAGACTGTACTGACTTTAAGCAATTATCATCTCCTATGTTTACGATCAGCGTACATCATCAACGCCTTCTTACACACAGTTTGGTGAAAATTAGATTTCCGTGTCTCTTGGTGACACGGCATGGTATGTAAAACTTGTGTCCCAAATCATACAATCGGAAGCCGCTTAAACAAGAGAAATGGAACGAGCGACAGAAGTGGAGGCTAAGGCGAAAGAAAGACCGAAGAAAAGAAGTGGGAGTGTAAATGACCTGTAGGAATGCTCATATACGATTGGAATCGGATATGAGCTCAGCCGACTACAATTGCATGCCGAAAGTTGTCAATATTTCGTCTTAGCAAAAACTAATCACGTACAAGGTTTTCTATGCATTGTGTTGCATCGAATCTTATTATGATAATAATTTCTCCAAATTAGAAATTTTATTCTAATTTAATTTCACAACAACGGAAACAAAGAATATTCTACAAATATTTTTCTGAGATAATAATTTATTAAACACAAACAATTTAATTCATACAATTAATCAATTCAATACATACAATTAACCAATAATTGATAAATTACATACGATGTACATATAAATACTAATAATCTAGTCGTAGGTGGGTCCAATGGCCTCAAAAAAGTTTTTTGGCTCCGTGAGATATGGCTTCGAAGTTTCTCAATGGCAGATAACAAAAATGTCTTAATTATTCGGTACGGCATTCGGTACGTGAGCAGGATATGCCAAATTTTGGGCGTCCATTTTCGAATCAGCATTGAAGTTTCTGTAGTATCCTTGTTGCTGGGATCCAGCGGGCCAATTACCAGCGCCGTAGTCATACAAAGGAGGTCCAGGATTTTTATTAAAGAAACTACCCACACTGCTACCGCTAAAAAGCTTCTGTAATACCACGTAGCCGGTAGCAAGTAAGGCAAGTTTACCGAAGATTAAAGCTTTTACAGTTAGCAGACCTAAGCCAAAAAGCAAGAGCGGTGCAAATGCGAAGAGCTTGAGACCCGCTGCAGCAATAAATGGCAGAAATACTTTCTTGATCTTGGCGCGTCCTAATTATAAGAAAATAAATTAACATAATTGGTCTTAGATTATGAGATTATAAAATCAAAATAAAACAATGCATCAATAATATAAAAATGCTAAAATTAAGTTTAATTATTTAAATGCAAAGATACAAAATTCATATTTTAATAGATGTAAAAATATCGACATAAGCTTAATATTAAGCTTATAATGTTAATTTGTCAGAATCTTTTGATATATTATATAAAAGTATTTAAATTAATAATTTTATGCCTTTTAAACACAGATCAATAATACTAATTATCGGTATATGTTTGGAAGATGTAAAAATAAAGTAATTAATATAAAAGTGTGATCAATGGGGATGTTATATTTTATTTTTAATAATACAATTATGAATTACTCAAATATTTTAAAATTCATTTGAGAAGGAAAGCGAAACATTTTTTCTTGAAGAACGAGTTTACGCGGAACAGGTTCAGACGTCAGCATCATACATATAGATATCACGGAGGTGAAAGGCATGCTGAGATGCTTATTCGTTTATACTCATGACGTCGCGAATCCGTAACGTTAATCGAATAGACATAATCAAGGAAAGGTGAACGATTGCGTAACTGAGATACTTAGTGAGTACTTAGTGAAGGCAAAAGGAATAAGACTTACCTTCAGTCAAGGCGCGAGAAATTGAACCTTCGGGCATGTCAAATTTCAAACTATGGCTCTTCGTAAAAGAGACAGTGGAATCGTACAGCATATTCAAAAGTTTTATTACTCTATCGGTGCTATCGTATGGTAGTTCATTCATGATTTTCTTTTCATTCATTTCTAAATTCCTACTATGGCGCTCCACTACAACAATGTTTTTAAGCAAGAAAAATGTTTATTAATTGTTAACGTAATTATTATTTTTTTCAAAATATTACAAGAATATAATTTCATCGAGTGTGTTTAAAAGCAAATGTAGCTAATTTCTTCAAAATTGCAACATATTCTTCAATATTTTTATAATTTGTATTATATTAATTCACAGTAATATATAATATTTGTTATATCTTGTAGTGTATAAATAATGTTACAGTTGTAAATTTACACAGAAAGAATGCTACAGTTGCCACAACCAAAAATAACGATAATTTTCGTCTATCAATAAATTTGGTTGTAATAAACGGAAGATGGACATATCTTAATAGTCTCAACTTAAGATATGTTAATCTTACGGTTATCACAATCTATCAGTATTATAATTCTTGTAATCAAAAAATATATTGATGGGCGTCTTTTGGTTATGGCAACCGTAGCCGTTTTTCCATGTAATATCATTTAAAATTAATATTACCCTAATAGCTTTATTCAACACTTTATTCGGGATACATCCTGAATATGTTCTTAGAATGTTTTTTTTACGTTTTCAGGA